GTTAATAAGTAGTCAAGCCCATGACTAAGAAAATTGCTGAACAATAGAATTGTTTAGATCAAGTGTATCTTAGGTACTATGCAGGGTAGTCTTAGCGGCAGCTCTGGCCAAGACCGGTCTCAGATGCCCATCCCACCTCATACTCTAGTGCAGAAGAAGCTGCTCATCAGGGACTTCTGTACTGAGGCAGGTCAGCTCTGTACTGCTGGCCATGACCTCCCGCAAGGCAGTCTATCTTTAGGGCAGCCAGTGCCCTGTAGCCTACGATTTACGGTTGATATAAAAAGATGAGCTCGATCAACCATTCCTCACTTAGAAATCTGTCACTGCCCTTGGGACCAGCAGTTAGCATAATGGCTATGTCACTGGACTCCCATTTAGTTGACTGCGGTTCGCGTCCCAGACCTGGTGGCTTAAAACTCACGCCGGGCGCGTGTGCATGCGTGCCCAAGATCCCGAGAGGAGAATGGAGGAGAAGGGATTGTGGCATGGCCGTTCCCTCTGGGGGGGGGGGGGGTTTCTCACCTTTTTTTTCTCTGTTTCTCTGTCTGGTGAGCGCATGCGCTCTATCGCAAAAACCTCTCCAAAAAAAAAAAAAAAAGGAAATTTGTCACTGCCCTCAGCAAGGGCAGAAACCAAAAAATACAGAAAGAGGCTACAAAAAGTTGGATCTGAATAGGCCACCACAAGCCAGATCCAAGAAAGCACATGTCAGGAGTGAGCAAAGGACAGAGCACCCACAGACAAAGGCAGACAAACTCTAAGACAGGCCATGGAATGCCCACGAGGGTGTCAAATGCACAGTGCCCATGGCTTGTGCCATCAGTTCTGTCTCCACACTTGGCAATTGATCGACTTTATCTAAGCAGACCTGGGTTCCCTGCAACCAATTAGGCCAGTCTAATTTTTTTTTTTAACTTTTTCTAGTTCCTTCAAAATAAAAATAATGTTCATGAAAAACTTAAAAAGTGGAAGCCTATGGAAAGAATATGTGAACTGGCCAAAAGACAGTTCCCAATTTAGGGACCTGACAGATTATAACAATTTAGAAGCTGTTAAAAATTGTTGGGGGAAGGAGTCATTTTTCTTCCCCATTTTTAGCCATGTAATGTTTATTATTGCTGCATTATAGCAATAGTCCACAAAAAAATATTGTGCCTAGACTCTGAGGTTTCTGTCAAAGACATCAGATTACAATAGGGCTAAGGTTCATTGAGAAGAGATAGGTTTTTGAAGGATAGCAAAAAACAAAATCTCAAACAAACAGGCATGTAACACAAGAGAAATAAAAGCATTATCCTGTGGCCACTGGTGGCACCATGGTAACACAACGTTCTGCAAGGCTGACGCAATGGGAGGGCTCTAGGTCCACAGCCTGCCTGTGACCAAGGGCCAGCTGAGGCTGTGGGTGGACTGCAGTGAGAATACCCCATTGGGGGTGATGTGTAACTCTCTTGCATGTGCACACTCATGGAAGAGAAAGAAACTTAAAAAAAAAGAAATATATATATATATACACATATAAAATAAATAATTCAGACTCTACTAAAAGAAATCATATCCTGAGATTACTATGCCAGGACCCTTACAAGAACTGAATTCCATCACTAGACAGGATGACTAGAAGCAGTCACTTTAACTTATCAAATACGCTATAATAAATAGTGGTACCAGCCCTAGGAACACAATACACTATTAAAATAGTCAATAAAAACAAAAGACTATAATAGAGATATCTGGAAATAAAAACAAATTCACAAATAGTCCACACAATTCAAGGGGGCAGACCCGCCAATGGCCCTAACTGGAAATACATGAAAATGACAGAAGATGCCTGAAGAGCAAGCAGGTCTATTCTCTGCAGGGAGAACATACCAAGCACCTGAGCCACAGTTACCAGAAGTCAACCCTTCCCTAGGGCAGAGTCCCCCATGCTTCAGCAGTACCCAAGCTCTGGACAAATAACCATGCCACCAGCACTGAATGTCATGTTTGTTTAAATGCACGGATTCCACTGAATGATTTCCCAGAAACCACTCTGACTGTAGAAATCAGACTAAACCTACTTTGAGAAAGTTGTTTTCTACAAATTGTATTGCAAAATGTTTTTTGGTAAATGCCTGTAACTCAACAGAGCTATTCAAAAAGAATATCAATTACATCCCAAATTTTATACATAGCTTTCCTATAACTATCAGGAAAAGCACTTCCAATAACATTCATCCAGCTTCATGTTCTAAAAATGCTTCCGGCATGAGAAGAGACAAATGGACAATCCAAGCGGAATCTTTTTCTTACCATTTCGAGACACATCAAGTTCCACCAGCTGCATGAAGTTTGCTATTTCTGGAGGGAGCCGCTGAATTTCATTATCACTAAGTCCAAGCTTCCGTAATTTGACTAGCTGGAAAAATTGCTGAAAGACAAAATAATTTCACATACATTTGAGTTGTAAATTTTTTTGCTAATACAAAATTTAAAACAGTATGTCTTTTAAGAACTAATGAAGACAGTACCAATGCCAATTTCTTCATTTTAACAGTATATCGTAGTTCATGTGAGGATGTTGGGATAAACTGCATACAAAGGACCACTCAGTACTATTTTAACAACTTTCTATCAATCTATAATTACTTCAAAGTAAAAAGCTTAAAAATTAGTGAGCAACTTAATGAGAATAGTAGTCACTCATTTGAATAGCAGTAGATGGTCACATATGCTGATGAAAACTGATGTTAAATCTTCGCTTTTAAAATACTTGTGAAATTAGAATAAAAATTTCAAATACTTTTTAAAATAAATTAGTATACAACAGAAAGCATAATAAATATCCCAAAACGCGAAAATATGTTGACCAATCTAAAAAGAGTCTGCACCAGATACTTTCATTAATCATGGCAGAATGAGCACATGCTTTATGTCCCACATCCCTTAAAAACTGTACTTAATGGAGCCATCAAGTGGTGTGGTAGTTAAGGCACCATGGTCACATGGCTGGTCATGGTTCGAGTCCCAAAGCAGGCAGCTTCCTTCCTCACTTTCTTTCTCTCTCCCTTGCTCATATGCCCTGTAGCAAATTTTTAAAATAATAATAAATTAAATTAAATTTTAAAGTACTAAAATAGTGCTAAAGTAATTAGGTGGACATAAATATAAAAACATGGAATAAACCCATGAAGACAACTGAAAATGAGAGAGGACTAGAAACAAACCAGATATGCAACAAACTGCTCGAAGCTAGAAAACAGATGGACAAATGGTAACTAATACAAGAATCAAAACAGCTGAAATTTAAACTCATCAGGTGAAAATCCAATAAGAAATTGGGTCTAGGTGCCGCTGAAGAAATAAAAACTGGTTGAGAATTTGTATAAAGAACAGGGAACCAGCAGTTAGCGTAATGGCTATGTCGCTGGACTCCCACGTAGTCGACCGCGGTTCGTGTCCCGGACCCGGTGGCTTAAAACTCACGCCGGGCGCGTGTGCGTGCGTGCCCAAGATCCCGAGAGGAGAATGGAGGAGAAGGGATTGCGGCGTGACCATCCCCCCTGGGGGGTGATTTCTCGCTTTCTGTCTCTATGTCTCTCTCTGTCTGTCTGGCGAGCGTACGCGCCCTACAGTGAAAATCTCTCCAAAAAAAAAAAAAAAAAAAAAGAACAGTTAAATCCTGATATTCTCTACCATGCATAGCCAGGCAGGAGACTGAATTTTTTCTCTCTAGAAGTGGTAACTCCAAGCACAGATAAGTACTACTGGACACACAGAGAAACTAACCCTACTAAAAGCAGGGAAACTGAGTCAAAGTCTGATCAGTGAGATCTCATCCTCACTTCTCCCCACAACCTAGCCCAAAGGCATGATGTATAGATATGGATTACCCTATTGTTAGGCTCATATTTTAAGATTCACTTGTGTATACAGAATTTCCAAACATGCCCACCCTACCTCCACTCCCAGTGCCTGCATCTTTCATTTAAACAGAGTCAAAATTCTCTGGACATCTGAAGAAAGTCCATACATAACATGAAAAACTGTGTATGTGCATGTTCAGGTGCATGAGCACACATATCCACTCAGAAGAAATTAACAGTGCATGAAGCAGAAAAAAATTCATCAAAAATACAATTAATGTCCTTAAAGAAAATGAAGCAGTATGATGCCATAAGAAGCAACACTCAAAGAATAAGCTCTTAGAAATTAAAAAATACTGTGGCATTAACAAAAGAATCCAATAAAAGAGATGAAAAATAAAGTTAACAAAATCAGAATAAAAGGACAAGAAGACAGGGAAACAGAGAAAATGACAGGCATACCAACAGATTGGTCTACAGGGTACTACATCCAACTGGTACGTAGTTCAAAGAGAGAAAACACAGGAGACTGCAGAACATGCTTTTTGGTTTGAAGGGGTCCACCATGTGGCTGATACAATCAGTTAAAAAGAGGTATATATCAAGTAATACTGTAAAACGTCAGACCTCCAGGCATAAAAATGTTCTAAAAGCTTCCAGAGAGGAAAACTAAAAGGAAAAGTCATAACAAAGGCTGGCTATCAGACTAGCACTAGACTCAATGGCAACCCTGAAGCTAAAAAGTAATGAAACAATGCCTTTAAAATTCCAAGAAATCACTACTTTCAGCCAAAAATTACATACCCAGCCAAACTATCAATCAACTATGATGACTGAATAAAGACATTTTCAGATATGTATGGTTTCAAAAAATTTACCTTCCTTGCACCTTTTTAAAGAATTCATCAAAATGTGGAAGTAAAAGAATAAGATGTG